CATGGACTCGCGGCAGGCGACAGCGGTTGACAATTGGAAGCTGAAACGTGCGCGTTGCTTTGATGTTGGCTATTGTATTTTAGTCGTTATATGTATGGAAGTTAAGAAAATGTCACTGTAATTCTTGAAGCTACTGTAAAAAGCGATGGAGTATTCATACCGGTAGAGCTTTATCATAAAGTATATCATTTTTTTTGCGAAAACCACTGTAAAATTGATGATTGCGGGCAACCGCAGAGTTGACAATTCGATACATCGATCGCAACGGTAAGCAAAATTCATACGCCCAAATTCAAGCTTTTAGAGCCGTCGTCCGCAGCAAAGAACTGCGACTCTCGAGGGTTTTGTCTGGAAGCTTCTATCGCGCGTGTCTCCGCGCCTGGTCGTCGCCAACGAATGATGGTTGCGGCATGGACACATCAGGGCAAACCAGGCAGGTCATCGCAGACCACCTCATACGTTTGTTGGAGGTAGGACTGGCTTACTTGGGAATTAATCCCAAGCTGGGATCAATGCAGCAGCTTTCTCAAAATGTCGCGATCAACTGCTACAAGCTCTGGGCAAACACGCCAAGCAGAGCTCAGCGTCCACAGCAGTTGTGTTCTTGATAGATGATCGCTGCCGCTGCACTAATGAACGTGGCAACGCCCCAGCAGCAATTGCAACTAGTTGTTGTAATACCGGTACCTCCCCTCAACGGTAAAATGCAATTGCGTTTTGGTTTTCATAATTATCACGTTTTCGCAGAACTTTTACCCAATCAACAAATCGCAACAGATTCGAACTGTATGATAAAATAACATTTACATTAGAATTTACAACATAACTTGACTTTCCTTCCCCAGCGTGCTAACAGCATGTACCTCTCTCGGCAAGCCTCTCCGATAAATACCTCACGTTCCTAATCCACTCGGGAGACGGCAAACATGTTCATGAGGTGCGCTTGAACCATTCTGTCGAAAATCCCCCACTGAAACGGCAAGAGTGACCGCATCGCTAACGTCGAGACTCGTCGCAACTAGCTCATCGACAGGGCCGTGAATTTTTCCGAAATCATGTTCTTGCGTTTGCGCATCTGGATCAAATTCCGAGACAAGTTCTGCACTCGCGTACGCAGCGTGCTCTCGTTCAGGTAGTCTTCGCGAGACGTCGCAGTGTTGAACATGAGGCGCTCGATTTTGACAGCAAGTTGAAATGTTTTGGAGTGCCAGTCAATATTCTCGGGAACTTGTGTGAGCACGTCGTGCGGCGCGTGGCTGCTCAGCATCTGCTCGATCAGGACCACATTGCGCGTTCGAAGCCCCTGCACCGTGCCGTCGTTTTCGCGCCAATTAGCGCTGTAGCTGCTGTTCGTGGAAAATGCGTTCGGGCTAAAGTTCGCGCCAACTGGGACTCCAAACAGGCCGCGCTTGAACGTTTCCGACTGCGGGTCTACGCCGAAGAAAAATGTGCTATGCTCCTGCTTCGCCTGCTGGGTGTTGTCGGCTGTGCGGATGCCAGGGAACCTTGGCGGGTCGGTCGTCATTTCAACTTGAAGAGACTTTAGCGGTTGAGGCAGACGAAACAAAGTGGAACGTTGGCGAATGGCACCAAGGCCAGGAATTGACAACCAGCCTCGCCTCCGTCTTCGCGGAGGCCAAAACAAGAGTGAGCTGCCACAAGGAAGAGAAGAGATTTTCATCGGGTTGGGCTTCCGCGGAAAG